CTGTCCTAAGTGCCCAGACGCTTTCTAATTTGTATACTGCTGGAAATACGCCACAGGCTGTGGCCCTTAAAATTGATTTCAAAGCATTGTTCTTGACCTGGACTTATTGATATGTTCTTCGACACCCTCTCTGTAGATTTTTGTTTAGTAGAATTCTTAGCTATGGTCTTTAATCCTTTAATTGCTTCTCAGAACAATTTGAACAGAAGACATACTTCTATACTGTGCTGCTACAAGGACTTTGAGGTGGCTTTCATCCACCACTGACCTATGAAACCCACCCCAGTTCCACGCTGCAGTAATTTCACAGTAGACCAGGTAGAAAAGTGAGATCTTTCTCCACCAGTCCAGATAGCCCAGGTATGAACAGAGAAATCAGAACATTTTCCTGGTTGAAACATTTAATCCCCACAGTATGTACTGTATGCCTTTCAATCATAAAGGATTGTGCTTTTTCTGTAATGATCAAGCATAAAGCTATTATTGAACAGAATTATATTCAAGCTGCTTAAAATATCCATCCATCCATTTCCAAACTGCTTTATACAATTCAGGGTCGTGGAGGGGCTGGAGCCTCTCTCTCCAAGGATGGATGTACTCTGGATGGTACCCAGTCTATTCAAGGGACATAAAATAACGTAAGTAAAGGATACAAACTAATCATTAATAATGAATAATGAAATCTCACACTAAATTCCTCCTTCTGATGCTAGTGTCAGATGAAAACACATATCAGCTGATAGCCAAGTAGTGTGACCATTTCTATGGTGGTCTGGCTGGATTAGGGGGTGTAATGACAACTGGGAGGCCACAAGAGGACGCCAAAAGCAGTCCGAAAAAACTGTAAATCATTAACCTTCTGTTTGAAGTTAATTGAAAGATTGTAATCCAATTACGTGTGGGAATGGACACATGGATATTTTATTCGGGTATGAACCATCAGCTGTCAGAGAGGTTTAACACACATATATGAGAAAAGCAGTGTCTCAGTTTCGGCAGCTGGTGTGTGTTAGTAGCAGGTTGATGGTAGTGTTTGTTGGTCTGTGCTCTCTCAGCCATGTGGTATGAACTGCTTCTTTTTAAAGTCTGGAATTTGGGAAACAGATTAGTATAGGTGGAGTATTGGTAGTGCACTAACAGAGCTCTGGTTTTTGGATGTTTTCAGCAGCAGGTGTTTCATTTGTTCATGGGTGCTCTGAATTGCGATGCATATGGCAAAAGAACCAACTGGCTGTGCATCATCTACTGCACACCTCGGAATTGATGAAAAGGGCAAAAAATGTTGTATTTGCATTACAAAATAGCAGCAGCTGCTGAAGAACATTTTTTAAGTTGGCAGAATATGATGTATCACTGCACATTTTAAAGCTGCCAGTTGGTGGTTTGGTCTGGCACTGCATGTTATTAAACTGCGTGAGCCCCGGCTCTTCACACACTTTTCTTTTCCTGGGGAAATGTAAAAAAGACACTTGATGCAATCTTCCAAACCAGAGGTGTCGTGGCAGCTAGCCCTGCAGTCTCACAGCTCTCTCTCGATCCAATAATGGACTTGGGCTTTGCAAATAGAGTGTGTGTGTCTTTTCAGTGTCACTGTGGGTCTCCAACAGGTGTTCTGGTTTCCACCCACCTTTCCAAGGACGTGCTGGCTAAGGTTGGTTGGTTAATCACTAAATTGTCTCTCTGTGCTTGGTGTACTAGCATTCTGTCTAGGGTGTAGACCCCCCTTGCACCCTAACACCTGGGTTAGGAACCAGTTTGCTGTATCTGGTACTCAGAATGAGTGGTTTTCTGATAATGAATGGATAGATTTGCCCCTGTCATGTGATATAGAACAGAGTACTCTTTCACTCTACTGGTAATATAGCTTTAGAAGAAAGAATTAGTGAGTGACTGCAGTGAATGCACATTCCATTGACAACTAAAGCATCCAAAATAAAGCCTTAATTTACAGTAGATGACATTGACTTAGAAGGCACGGTCTATTTTTAACCTTCCTGCCTGCTACGAGGACAGTGAAATAATTAGGTTTTCAACTCCTCCATGGCTGGAGATGAAATTAAATCTTGCAGGAGAAGCAGGGAGTTTGGGTGTGATATAATTAAAAGCAAATAATTTTTTGCGGAACGGCCGCTACATACAAAATCTCTTCAGAGGGAATTTGAAATTGTTCCGCTAAAATTGATGTATGTCCAGCTGTGTTTGTATTAAAGTGGGTTCATTAGTTGGTTGTGGAAAGGTGTGTCTCTGAGGTGCGCGATACCAGGATTCAAGTTCAATAGCTTTGGGTAAGAGGAGAACAAATATCCCTTGTTAATTAAAATCACTGGAGCGTTAGCTCTGCCACAAACAGGAAACTCTTTCTCAATCACATAGTTTCCAAACTGTTTCCAAAAACGTTTCAAAGTTCTGTCAGTATTTGTAAACAGCTCTATCTCCAATGCTGTCATTACATTTATACTACATAAAACTTGTCATGTTTTTTGCTCTTCTGTTTTTTGCTTGTGACAATGACTATTTCAAAGAACAGAACTTAAAAGTTTTAAAAGTAACTTTTCCCTGAGATACTTGCTAATGGGACATTACTGCTGAACTGAATGTAGATTTGACATTTCAGAAGGCTTCCTTCTCTGTAGAGCACACCTTCCCAAACCTTTTCAGGTGGCAGCACACGTGTAGTGACCCAAATGTTCACACCAAGAGATTTTAAGTAATGAGTACTAAAACTACAAGAATTCACTTCCATTTCAAAACGCAACATGCACCTACTTTTAACGAGAAACACTGTACTTGACTTCATTGTTTCTTCAAGAAATTTGAACTTCTTTCAGCAAGCATAACTATTTAAGATTTAGCTCAAATCTCAATTCTGAAAAGAAGGACACAAACCTCCTGATCTAACACTTTTCAGACATGGGTGCCTTCCGAACACCACGACACACCTGAGACACCTGAGCTTGGGAAACAGTACAGGAAAACAAACTTAATCGAAAACAAAATAGGGGAGAAAAAGGCTTGTTGCTATGTTGATTTCAAACATATATACTGTATGCTTATGTTATGTGGCATGGATTTATTTATGCAAGTATACACATTTCGAGTCCTACAAACAGCACTGCTTGCAGGAATGGACAGTTAATTTGCAGTTCCTTTTTCTGCCACATATGGCTATATATGGGAGTGAAGAATAGTCCGGTCCTTTAGCAAAGCCTTGAGGTTCATGTGACTAAAAATAAATCCTTTTTCACAATGAATCCTCTGGAATTTAAATGATGTAGTCTCTCCGTGTTTCTGATTAGTCTGTCACAGCATTCTTTTGTCTGTCATACCTCAGTGGCAGTGCAAGTACTGTAAATCTGACAAAATAATGAACTATGTGCTGACTCACTTCTTATCCCTACTGTTAAAAAACTCAAGCGCTCTTAGCAACAGCATTTTTCATTGCACAAATATTTGCACAGGTATTTTGAAGGTTATTTATGCATCCAGGCATTTCCTCTTTTCTTCTGAGGTCATTTTCCCTTTTTTGTGTGTTTGCCCTTCTTTAAGGACTTGGTGAAGTAAGCAAGATCGCTATGTCAGACCACCTTTGATTCTCAAAGACAAAAAAGCATTTTGATATGAATGTAAATAGCAACGAAATAAGCAAAAATCAGCCTACCTTAACTTTTTTACATAATAGAGTAGGAAGCTCTTCAGACAGAAAGAAAAATAATAAAAATAGCAATTATATTAGTGGAAATAATACTGCTGTATTTTATACTGTAGATGGTACTTTGATAACTGAGACTTTCTCATTTCATTTGCGGCCTACACACATCTGTGACTGTTCAACACCAGCCCACAGTTAACACCTGTCCCCTACAGCTTTCTTTTGTAGACAGGACCCCCAATGGACGGAGTTTGTGATCTGATCTGATTTAAATATCAGTGTTATATTTAATTTCTCTACTGCCTCTTTCAAAATATTGAAAATAAGAAGATTTGAAGGTTTGCCCTTTATACTGTATACATACAGTCTAACCCTCTATTGTATCTTTGCTGTGTCCTGTTGTAACATGATGTGTAGGGCATTTTGAGATGGTGTCCACCCTAAAAAGGCACTCCAGAAACAGATCGATTGATGGCGTGACTGAGCGAATGATTGATTGATTGAGCTGGAAGAGAGCATCGTGTATTAAAAATATCAATTGCCTGGGGCAAAAAAAAATCTTTCTCTTCATATACAGTTGGTTGCCCATGAGGTTTGGGTACTGTTTTGTCCTCAGCAGGGTGTAAGTCAAAATTCAATAGTCACATTTTTCTAGAGGTTTCAGTCAAGAGCAAGCACATAATGCCAACTGGGTGTGTTTATAATAGTAGTTTCCCTGTAACAGCTTAGGCTCCAAAATGTCTGTGCCCTACACCAGTATTATAGAACATGTAGAAATGATAAACTCTTTGCATATCTACTGGTAACTTCATAGGTTACTGTACTGTATGTTGCATTCTATTCTTAAATTTCTGGGCAACATTTCCTGACACAGTGTGAGCATTCCTGCGAGATGAACCTTGGTGAACATCTGTGTCTGCAGTGTTATAGCTCATGCCAGTGACAGTAGCTCTGTGATGGGCAGAAGGCACCAAATGTTGATGCATCCCCCGGCTTCCCCCCACTTGAAGTTCCCCCCACTTCCACTCCACAACTTGGAAAAACCCAGATTCCAGCTCCTTAAAAAAAAAATGTTTATTTCCTTTTGCTTCCTTCATTGATGGAAAGAGTGGCACACAATGGAATCTTTCTGGTGACTATTGTACGTGTTTTCTGAATGCCCCAGTGACCTGCAGTTGTTTGACAAACAGGGAGAAGGGGAGTCCTGGAATGTGCACAGCTGTGCTCTGCAGAGTGCGGTGAGGCAGGAGGAAGTGGGAGACCAGGGGGCGTGTCTAAGGCCATGCTGTCAGACAGAAGGATTTATAAATACAGGGCAGCCTCAGAGAAGTGCTTCAGAGAGGTACCTGTTTGCAACCTCACGAGCTGAGAGAGGATTACTAACCTCCTTTTGCACCCTCTGGACTTCATGACTTTGAGCACAGCTAGAGCACAGCCAGTCATGACTCTCTCACTGCATGGGCTCCTGGCACTGGCTGTAACCCTCTGTGTCTCTCTACAGGAAGGTAGGTGCTGGAAGAGAATAAAATACACTTTTATTTAGACTCTCTGTGTTTCTATAGAAAATTGATGTTTATGAAATGAAATTACATTTTTTAAAAGTAAGTCAGATTTTCTCTTTTTTGGGCCCGTTGCAAGGGTTGAAGATCAATGAATTTAATTGTAGTTTTTCTTTCTTTCAGATTGCATGTGTTTTAAAATAGTGATCTATTCATGGTTCTCAATAATAAAAACTCACACACATTTTTATTATTGAAACATATTTAATTATTAATAATGCACATGTCAAAATGCTTTATTTTATGCATGTATTTGAATAAATGCAAAATGTTTAAATCTGAACATATGGACATTTCATCATTGTTTTTGGCTAATTCTTTAATTAGACTCATTTTTCATGTTGGTTTTGGTGATACATTAGATCACTGGTCGAGCTCTTTAGAACCTTTTTCCGCTGTACCATGAAATTAAAAAAATATCAGAACAAATCTGAAACCTTTTTACTCCTATTACTCAATTATGTTCCTTTTTTCCAAACTCGGATTATTTAACTCTCTTGCTTTTAAAACTGTTCTGGAAGATGAAATATTCATTTCGTATTTCTTTCCATGTCTACATGACTGCAGTAATAGTGCTCTAATAGTGCTGCTGGACAGCTCTGCTGAGACTGTGAATAGTGTGATTGCAGAGGAATTATATTGGAAACCTGTCATTAATGGCCCTAATAATTACTATTAGCAGTGACATTTGGTCTTATTTGCTGTGTGACAGCATAGCATTTATTATGGCTGTTAAAGTGAAAAGTTAACAGGCTGTGTCTGAGCCTGGCACTAAAAGTGTTCCCACTGCAGGTGAATTAAATCTTGACAGAACCATTGCTGTTTCTGTCTTCTTGATAAAATTACATGATCAAAGACACTTTATATCCAGTTTTGATAAGGATCTATCAGAAAGATTACACCAAACAAAGAAACATTAAGAACTCATTTATTTATCTGTCATAAAGCACTCAACATCTTCTTCAAGTACACTATGAAGCACATATTTTAAAGACTGCTATTTGTAGAATGACTTAATTATAGTGAGATAGTTTTTGTTAACATTAGGGGTTCTAGGTATTTTTATCTATTTCCCTGGAATAACATCACGTTAATAGCTATACAAGTGTTGACACTCCACCTTATTTGACTTCAATTGGTTAAATATGAGCCATGATAACAATGTTTACACAAGAGTACAGTGAGCTCTGAACCTATAGAGGCTGAACAGAAACAAAACTAAAAGGCAGACGACGAAAGTCAAACAAAATAGCGCCGGCATTGTCCAACTATTTGTTTGTGAGTTTGGTTGTTGAGATCTCACTCATCTGGTATGATACAGTGGAATTCAATTGCTTACTGTGGATTTAAAGGAATCAGCCACATTCCACAATAATTAGAACCTAATTTTGTTTAACAACAAGGTGTGTAACAGATGACTTAATTCTGATCTAGGCCAATTTCTTTATGCTGAAGTGGTTGTGTTCTTCAGTGGACTGTAATGTGGAAACAGGATGGAATTAAATCTATCCATCTCAGGAGCTGAAGGTGGAAGTAATTTCTTTTTCTTAAATTCCAGTACTCAGTTTCTCTTCCTCTCTCTCCTCAGGACTGGGACTCCCAACGTCCAGACTGCCAGAGCTCAGCCCACAAGTACCCCCTCAGAGGCACCGTGTGAAACGCTGTTCCTGCAGCAATTGGATGGACAAGGAGTGCATCTATTTCTGTCACCTGGACATAATCTGGGTCAACACTCCAAGGTAGGTGCATTGCCAAAGAGCTGGACAAAAAAAAAAGATTTATAGGTTGCAAATTACATCGAAATGCCTATGGCTTTAAACTTGGCAGCAAAGACGGACAGGCGTGATTCTCCGAGTATCCTAACTGTCACACAGGGGACAAATGCAAACAGTAAAGCAAGTTAATTGATGACTCTTTGGGACAGTGCAACATTGATCCATGCATCAGGCAAACACAAACAAGCAGGGCAGGTACACATGAGTACATGGAAGATTACATAAATTGTGTAACGTGCGATATACTGCAAGGGCATGTATTTAACTGACCTCGCACACTTGTATACAAACATAGCTGACTAAGAGCCTGTGATAAGCTGGCCAGTCTAAGATTCCTGAGAGGCAGCAGAGAGGGGCGGGAGTGTGCGCTTTGACTGGTGGGGGGGGGCGAATTCCAAAAGGGTCGTATGGCTTCCCCTGATCTGCAACGCCCTATCCCTCATGACTCAGAACTTGGAAATGGCTGAGCAAAGTCTAATGCGGAGGAGACTCAGGTGCAGAATATCAGAGCCTTGTTTTTTTTCGCCCGCTGCAGCAAGCTCACACCCTACGGCCTGGGAAGCCCACCTCTGCGGCGCCGCCGATCGCTGGAACGCTGCCAGTGCGTTGACGCCAAGGACCCGAAGTGTGCGGGCTTTTGTAAAGCCAGGTGAGCCTGTTCTCTAGCCTCCTCATAGACATCCCTCCTCTGGTCATCATAGTAGAGTTTGCTGCTGCACAGTGTTCCTTTATTGCCGAGGTCCACAGGTGAGCTCTATCACACAAGCTGGTCGAATGAAAAACACTGAGATCTTGTCCTCCAGAGTAGTCTAGTAGTTGCAAAAGGGGTTTTAAGTGACGATCCACTTCTGTAATGTGTTATTTTTCTGAAGAAGTAGGCCATTTTCTTAAGGAGAGTCGTGAAGATTTATTTGTTGTTGACAAGCTTTGTTGACAAAGAAGTAAACCCGGCATGAAATGAAAAAGGTTTCAAGACTCAGTTCTTCTGAGATGGGGATGCAGCATTTCATAAGTGGAACAAATGGTGGTTGCACAATTTTGACTGCAAAAACTTAAAATCCAACTAGTTCCAGTCGAAACAACCCAAGACTGCTTGTGTGGTTCCAAGGACGCCTTTAAACATTTATATTCTGAGGCTTTAGATCAGTGCTAAAAAGCACAGTATTACTAATGCTTAAGCAGTCCGAATGTAGAAGAAAAGAAAAGCATTTTACATCACTTTGGGAGGAGTACACAGTAAGAGTTTTTTAACTTTTTAAGATTGCACAGTAAAGGTTTGTCATCTGTAAAGATGAGATTTGCCCAAGAGGTGCTTCGTGTGTAGCTATTATTAAATTAGGTTTTGCAGACTAAATGTTTTCTTCGGGAATGTAGAGGAGTGGTAGGTAATTGGACGTCTTTTCTAAGAGTTTGGGTTTCTCAGGAAATTAAGGAAATCAGCAGCACCACACAGCGAAAAAGACAACACTGTGATTGTGCTTGGATGATTGATAATTTAAGAGATTTAGATCCAGCAGTTTGTAGATGGTTGGAGAGTTACACAACAAACAAGTCAGAAATGAGTCACGATTTTCCATCGACTAACAGCAAACTTTACCTTGAAAGGTTACTTCCCAAACAGCAGCGATACACACGTTTTTGTTAACACTCTGGTTATATTGGCTGAATCACAAATTCCAAGCGTTCCTGTGATTTAGTTGTTGTTCAGTCTATGTATATCGGTGGGTCTTGGTGATAAATTCTGGATAAAGTGGAATAAAGGTCAAGGAGTTGAGGAAACTTTACAAACAAATGAAAGGAAAATGTTGGAAATTCTGCTCACGTTAGTGCCTGCATCACCTGGGAGAAGATAGTAATCTGATGGAAAAATTCAGATCTACTTTGTCACTGAAAAGTATCCCTGTTTGGCATTTCATAGCACCAAGTTGCAGTTTAATGTTGTGTACCTGCCAATTCCCTGGGGCGTGATTGCTGTGACATCAATTCTTCTTAATTAGAGGGCCCTGTTTCTAAGCTTCTTTCTGTTTAATCATGTTTACAGTTCCAACAACATTTCTGGGCAGTTTTTGAGCACGTCTGCGCATTCCCTGGACAACGATGATGCATACAAAAAGAGTTTGCGCCTACTGAGAGTCTTCAGGTAAGCATGCAGCATTGCAAACAGCTATCCTCTGTGGTAGAACTGGAGCACTGCCCTAAATATTGAAGCAAAACTGAGGGAAACTGCAGTGTGAAGTTAAATGTGGTGAATGTCATAGGAGAACAATTATAGTGAATGAAGAAGGATTCTCTTTGAAAACGATCCTATTCTTGACAGAAGAAAAACAGCCTTAGAAAATAACGAGATCACTGTGAAGTTTGGCAGTAAAGAATAGGTTCACTGTAAAATAGATTGGTAGAGCCTCAAAACTTGTGTTATCAAGAGAAGTTCTATTTCAAGATTAGGAGACCTTTAGCAATGTACAAATAACAATGCAGCATAGTGTGGCCCTAAAAATGGAGAATCTTTGTGGATTTCCCCCCTGGAAACTGCATGGAAAGGCATTTAAAAGTCAAATCATGAGGCTCCTCCTTAAGCAAAGGGTTGTGGGAGTCTGGAACAAACCACCCCACCATGTTATTGACTCCAATCAGTTACCAATAACCAAATGGGCCAGCTTGGTAACTGTTTTTCTTTTCTAACCAGGTGTGCTTTACTGTAAGGTACTCAAGTCGGTTCTCTTGCAGGGATGTTATCAAGGCCAACGCTAAGGCCGCAGAGAGGGGCGTCTCACCAAGGAAGAAACCCTCCAAACCCCTGCGGTCGCACAGGGCCCACAAGATGCACTACAGATAAACACCGGCAGTCAGAAGAGTGAGAAAAGGCAAGCGCCGGACAAAAGAGATCCAGCCTAGCCCGACGTGGCTCAAGGAAGCAGAGCCCGGTGAGGGGCTGCACCTCAGATGGATCACAAGACCGCTGTTCCCATACAGCCTTAGAAAAAGCAGAAAAGGGAGCAGAGGGATTGCAGAGAAACAAATTCCTGAGTCACTGGATTCTGAAACTGGAATGAACTCTAGGCCTGAAGGGGTTCCTCCTGTCTCTGTAGCAAAACCCCCTCTGGACTATATTGAATTTCAAGGCAGTGTTGAGTTCTCAGGCAGAGATGCCTGCACTTTGGTTCACCCAGAAACACGTATAAACTACGTGTTGAATTTTGTCTCCCTTTGACTTGGGGCTGGGTGGGGGGGGCAGGGTGAAACAATCAGCCACAGCTGAATAGTGTTCAGTTCCTAAGAAGATGGTTATGCCTCTTATTATGTACAGTAAGGGTGTGTGGGGAGGAGGGAGGAGACTATTTTAGTAATGGCAAAGGACTGCTGATCCTTAGTATTTGAGGTATTTCAGCAACCTGTGCCTACAGTGAAACACCGATATGCACATACTTAACTCTGCTCAGGTGTATGGCTTGGAGCATCTCAAGGATTAAAGCAGATGAAGCTGACCACAGATGTTCATCCTGGAAGATCCCTCAGACAGAATACAATCCTCTGTATCAGAGAATGAGAGAATGACAGTAGAAATACCTAAGCACTCCAGTGAGGGAGTAATAATAATATTAAGAAATCTTTATTTATTCACAGTAAAATGACTTGAACCTCATTGAATGATGGATCAGATTTTTAAAAATATTTTTTATTTTAGTTGTTCATATGGACAAGAAGGAAATTACAGATTTCTATAGGTATCTACCTTTAGTTTCTGTTAGCAAGAAACATCACATTTCTATCTCAGATCACCAGATGCTGTATTTTTTCTGACTGAAAATATCCTCCTTGCTGCTATTCATGTATTATAATGTTTTTATAAACAGAGATAAGACATTACATAATTGATTAAGATTGTATACATCTAATGGCTCTTTATGTTTTACACTGAATCTTTTCAATGAACTACTGAAAAGCAGCTATTGTTCTGTTTGTTTTGCTAAGGTGTATGTGCAACATCACCAAGTTTTTTTGTGAACTCCCTCAAGTTTCTGTTTTAAAACAATCTTTGATCGTGAGGGGACAGTAAGCAGAATAATATTTCCAAGCCCGAACCTGTGTGCTTGATGACATTGGAGCAATCATCACAGATAATGAAATTACACATTCCGATATTGAAGTAATTGGGAAAGGCTCCAAAATTGAATTGATACCTTAAGCTCGCAATCATGACTTTGTTACCCACTGCACTGAGAAGTGTCTTTTAGTAAGCAATTTATTCCCTACCGCGCTAAGGATTTGAAAATAGACAGTGTGATTACTGACTGGAATGGTCTTGTTTCGGACTGCTTTCTGCCTTCCTGAACTCACAAGTGCTAGACATTGTTTGTCAGCACTTGAGATATTTTCTTTTGCATTTAACTGGAAGGTGTGCTGTATTCCATTCTGAACAGCCATGGAAACCAACAGAACAATGGGCCTCTGATCTCTCCCTAGGCACTGAAAAGAAAAGTAAAGGCTTTTGTGATCCCGGAAATATTCCATGCATAGCTCTACTATTTTGATTATCGAGACTGACAAGGGGTTTCAATGGCAGAAGCACTGCCAAAAAGCTTTTAATTGTTTTTCTTTTATACATTTGTTTGTGTTTTGGTTTTTTTTATTGTGTTGGCCATATGGAAAAGTAATGTCCTCATTAATGGCAACACAAAAGGCAACAATGCTAATTTGCTTATGGAATGTGTTTTCAAACAGAGTGCTGCTGTATGGAAAATCTTGTTCAGGCTTTTGTAGGCTGTTGAAAACAGAGTATGAAGTGTGCTGCTTGCTTGTCCTGTTTAAGATGTTAAGATTGCTTTGTAAGTTTCATACCAATAACACCATTATCCTTAAACCACGATCATACTCAAGAGCCACTTTTCTTTAGAAAAGACAGGCCAACTGTCTGTATACAAGTGATCTTTCATCTGTAGAAGGAAGACTTATCTTTAATATACTGCTAGTCAAGAGTTAAGAATACTGCATTGCAATAAGCACTGTACCTGTATTTTGTTATTAATTTACTCATTTTCCTGTAATTTGAACATTAGTCTTGTCGTGTTTTTATTTATTTATTTTATTTATAGTTAGACGTTATTTTATCTGATGATGGATTGTGCGAATGTATTTCTTGTTTTGTATGCCATTTTAATAAATTGATAAATTATTTGTCAAAGAATAGTTTACTGTATTTAAAAAATATATATTTTGGGACTTATGCTTTTCAACACAATTAGGAAATGCCAGAGATGCAGATTTCTGAGCATGGTAGCTGTACCTAAGAACATAAGAACATAAGAAAGGTTACGAACAAGAAGTGACCATATGACCCATCTAGCTTGTTTGTATTTTCAATAGGTCATTTATCCAACGTTCACATCTAGTCATTTATTCTAAAGAACCCAGGGTATTGGCCTCAACCACACTCTTGTTCCATAACCAGATAACCCTTTGGGTGAAAAGGTGGCTTCTTTTTTCAGCTTTAGTGTTAAATTCACTTCCAAATGCACTTGTGTCTTTGGTTCATGTTCACTGTACATTCACGGGGGCGAATGAAGTCCTTCCATGAGAGGCCTGCCTGTCAGAGCCCTTCCTCTAGTGAAGTGTTGGGAGATCCACAGTTTCTCACGGAGTCTGGCAAACCTCAGAAGTCACAGTTTCATCAAAAACCAACAGCACTCACTCATCTCAGCCCTTCCATTCTGATGCTCTTCCTCTTGGGTAATGCTGACTGCAGTGTGCTGGAGGGCACAGGTATGCTTTACAGTTTGCCTTGGTGAAGTGTGAAAATACATTCTTGTCGATCCTGCAGTTCTGAAGTGTGTGTATGTGTCTTCTGGTTTTGTACGTACTACAGCGCAAACAGACATCTGCCACAGTCTCTGAAAAATAGATGGAGATTGTCTACCACAGTCTCTCCCAGCCTGAAGGAGATCACCTATGACAATCCCTGAAAAACAGGCAGGGATCCTTGGCCACAGTCACTCCAGATCTGACTGAGAACATTTGCCACAGGTTTTGAAAAACAGCCCTATGCAGAGCTGCACACAATCTGACACCGTCTCCAAAGATCTCATTCGTAAGGGCAAGAAAGGAAGTCTCTTCCCACTGTGGCTAATCACAGCAGCTTGCAGGTGAGGCCAGCTGGGACACACAAAGAAAACAATGGAGTAGATGGATAACAAACACACTAATCACTGCAGGTTGTTCAACACGTATCCAGCATTTGTTTTGATTTTTTTGTCAGAGGCACGGTTTCGTAATCGCTCCTCCCATCACAGCACTTTTTTCATCCTTTCCTCAAACGTGTTCCAGTAGATATGTCCTGTGCAGGTGGCCTTGTGGAGGTCTCACGTGTAAATATCCTGTTAGGAAGTGAACTGCATGAAACATTCCTGTCGTGTAGAACCTGAGGGTCTTTAGGAATAGGTTCTGACTAGACTAAAGACAAAAGAGCAGAGGTGTTGCAAATATATGATGCCTGGTGTCACTCTAAAGACGATTTCTGAATTGACTCATCGGACATATTTTCTGAAAACATTTCACAGATAAATCTAATGCTTTCACGGTATGTTTCTTAGATATAGACACAGTGTCACTGCCTTTTACACGTATAGTTTGTTATATCGGCGAAGAAAGTCAATCGCAATCTCACAACTGGCCCAAGGCATAATTAATTCCCCATGTACTACCCACCTCACTTTTTGCAGACAGAAACTACTGTAGTAGCCTGTTACCTACATGTCAGTAGTGCAGCCAAACCCTAATACAAGGTGGAGTACAGGAGTGATTTTCGTTTGTGTGCTTCATTGGTGTAACTCTCCAGGATGAGGGGAAAAGACATCCCAACTCCAAGGACAAGCCTGTCAGAACTCCCTCTTTAATAAGCAGTGACCCATAGAGCTGGGGAGGTTTGTGAAATAAAATGCACTAGCACGTATGCTAATCACATGATATTTCCAGTTTATTGACATTTAGCTGTTGATATCTAGTACAGTGATATTTATAACAATGGGATTTGACTGCCTCCCAGACTTCATTTCAGTAACTCCTCCAAACCCTAAATCAAGGAGGAATGAAGGAGCGATGTGATTTGGTACAGTATGCCTTAACTTCACTGGCTGAGGAGAACGATAACCAGATCATGAGGAAGAGACCCCACAAAAGAAGTGAGAAACACCCCATAATGCCAATGCAGATGAGTAATGATTGCCAATGCCAGTGGGGTTAGAGCTTACTTGGCTCTCAGTGATACTGTAACTGTTGCAGCCTTTGGGACACTTCTAGGCTCGATCAGTCAGGGACACCTATCTCTTCTAGTTGGCATTGAACCTCCAGTACGGGGCTCTGCTGCCTGTGATGACTCAAAGGCAGGCAGGAGCAAGGACTCTGCCTAAACGTCCTCATTCGCCCCTGTTTGCACATGCCAGGTTTGTTTCCTTGATCCGGGAATAGATGAATAATCACGGTCAGCTCTGTATAATAAACATACATGTCATATTTGTAAACCTGCAACTCTAAACGAAAAGAGAAGCTGGAGGCAAAGAGACCGTGATGTGGACCATGCTTCTGTTTTTGGGAGGTGGGAGGAAACTGAAAAATCCGAAGAAAGCCCATCTGAAAGCCCCTGTGATCACTGGGAAAACAAGAGGCTAAACCAGGATTATTTATAAATGGTCAGAAATATGACCTGAATTTTTAAGGAAAAGCATATTTTGTCTTGAACAGAATGAGTGGATGAATGCAACACATCTTTTTTTTTACCTAAGTTTGTGCACTTGAACACGGCATTATTAAACCCAGGATGTTTTTTCCACAAGAAGTATTTGAGATGAAGTCAGCATTGCTAGTCATGTCCCCTGTTATTCATACAGGAGGAAGGTTTAGATGTCATTGGTTTTGTTGGGGTTCAAGAAAACACTGTTTGGCCCTTGTTGGCTTATATCCTTGGTATTTCTCAAACGTTTTATTCAGTTCCCGCTTCCTCTTGTGGAATTTTTCCAGGTGGAATCAGCAATTGTAGCGGACACAGTGAGTGTAATCTCGGGACATGAGAAGCAGTGAGCCATGTTTATCAAGAACTCGGCACTGAAGTGGAATAAGCACTGCTGAAAACTAAAGGCAATCAGACTTGTGGATCTTCTAAGGACACAGACCGTGATAATCAAAGTCTGTGAAATAAAATTAGAATGTTAGTAACTTAGTGTTGGAAAGAAAGACAGCTTAAATTTTACGTCAATGTATCCAATGGCATTACCAACATAAACCATATAGCCTATGCATACAGTATGTAAATCTGTAAGAGATCTGAAGAATCTGCCCTTTCACAGCTGGTCAGAGAGGGAAAGTGGCTGAGTATATAATGAGACAAATCCTTTCTTTTTTGTCTGATGTCATAGAGCTGTCTGGTGCAGTGCACTATGGTATTTTATCTGTTCAAGGTGCACACTTATCTCTGTTGTTGTTCTTTGTTGTTTACTTAAGATTGCATTCACATTGGAGCTCCAACTTGGTTTTTGGAGATGTGATTGCTGCAGAGTCTTGAAGGCAGAAGCAGACAGTGCCTGAAGTCACGAAAAACAGATACAAGGTACGACGGTGTGACCTCATTCCCAGTCTGGAACTGAGCCTTTAACCCTGAGCATTGTGAAGCCCTGAGGAGAGTAACCACCTGACTGTGTAATCATAGTCTTGTATAAAAGAATACACAGTGTGGATATGTCTTCTCCTTAAAGTACATAGTTTATCGTGGTTGTTTCATTAATACTTTTGTGGAACATTATTTTTTTCACTGCGTGCTATTATTAACATTCCTTCATGAGCACAGTCTTAGTTACTCTGTTTATGGGTCTTCATGTTTGTTGACGGGCAGCACAGTGGAGCAGTGGTTAGCATTGCTGGGACCCCCGGTTCACTTCCAGACCAAGGATGCTGTCTCTGTGGCGTTTATTGTTCTCTTCCTGTGTTCACATGGGTTTCTTTCAGGTGCTCTGGTTTCTTCTCACAGTCCAAAGACATACTGGCTGGTTAATTGGCTTCTGGGAAAATTGGCCCCAGGTGATGGGCTGGTGTCGTGTCCAGGACGTCCCACCCTTGTGCTCGTTGCCTGCTCCAGATCCCGCAAGACCCCGAATTGGAAGAAGTATTTTGAAAATACAAAGATGGATGTTTGTTGATACAGTACATCAGGAAACCTAGCAGGTGTTGCACAAACGTCCGTTTCACTTATACAAGGCAGATGGGTGAAGCCAGGACACCACACAGACTCACGTGCACCTGAGTTTCATACATGGGCCAGCTTCTATGCAGGAAAAAAAACAGCTCTCTTTTGCAAGTTCTATTCCCGTTCTGTGTTAGTGTCTCCATCAATCTGGGAGAAAAACAGGATGCTTTTTTACATTCCTGTTACATTCCTGGCTTTACAAAAAAAAGAAAAGAAAGGAAAACAACACAAAAAAAAAACTGTTGGAAAAATCCAGGCGTGTCGCCTTTCAATAAAGGCAGCTGATACGCTGCGGATGGTGGTTGATAATGAGGTGATTAATCGCTGGATTGTCATGCCATTCTTTTTGTCTTTGTTGTACAGTGCAGAATGAGTGTTTTTGCCGTTATTTTGTTCCTGCGAACATGGCCTGCTGAGCCTAGCCTCTGATTACAGTAGAAACGGTATCAGAACATTCCGTCTCTTCCTGGTTTTGTTTATGGGGAACTGTGCAAACGTCTCTTATTGCCTGAGCCAGATACAGTATGTGATGCCTTAATAGTCTGCAGACATGAGGCTGATGAGAGGCAGTGGGGATTGACAGGAGGGGAGAAGTGCTTCTGTTTGCTATCTAATCAGTAAACACTTTTGATGGGGTCAATCTGAGGTTTCAATTGGACAGCACTGATGGGGGTGAGTGTATGCGTGTGGCAGGGAGGGGGTAGGCTTGAAAGGGGGTCATAACTGCAATTTCTGCCATGTGCTTCATGGCCAACAAAACAAATTCTCGATCTCCTGACCTTGTTGACCACCACACTTAATGTAAGAGCGAGCAGAAGAGTCAGAAGCAAGGAGCCACTGTATCTACAATTAATTGCTTTTAAATGTGTAAGGAACATTACAAGGGTGATAAACTGTTCATATATGACTTTT